CCTCTGTGTGATGAAGTTGTGGTTGGGGATGCCGGCCTGGTACGTGGCAGCATGTCGTGCCAACGTGAAGAGCGGTGCCATCATGTCGGCCCTATCTGACACCGAAATCCAGCGGGAGATCGGAATAAGTAACCCTCTGCACCGCCTCAAACTTCGCTTGGCAATCCAGGAAATGGTCTCCCTCACCAGCCCCTCAGCCCCGCCCACCTCCAGAACCGTGAGTTACACGGAAAATGTGGGAATTTTATTTCCACACATATTTGTTGAAGGAAGCGTTGCTCTAAAGGAGGGAAATTTTCTCATCATTTGTAACAACAGAATTGGCAAAAAACAGACAAAGAAGGAAAAAGGATTTGGACATGGGAAAGCAGTTAGCCTAGCTAGCCTAGGTATATCAGAAAATGATAATAAACTGCATATCTACCCGCACAAAAAACGAAACAAAAAAGGAATTAGTGATTTTTCAAGATGCTGGAAAGACCTGACTTTACACGGCTGTTTCCCATCTTTATCCAAAGCTAAGCTAACAAGTTCCTGGTTTAATCTTGCGGTTTCAAATCCTGAAATGTGGAGCAATTCCTTCAACATACATTCTGTCTGTTTTGCACCTTTTAAATTGAGTTTTTGTGAGTTTGGTCATGTGTATTTTTAGTTTTTCATTGTGATTTTTTTAAAATGTTTTTTTTATGATGTAGGTAAAGCACTTGAAGCTCTAGCTAGCTATAGCTAACTAGGTCACACTGGTTATAGTACACATACATGTACTGCAACACTTCTGCAAGAAAAAAAGGTTATTGCAATCATAATTTCTGCCTCCAAAACAGTTCTAGCAAATATTTTTGGGACATGAGCTTCCCTGCTTGCATACACCACATCTTCACGCATGGGTAACACGCTCAGTACTTACCATCACATCCAGGTTGTCTGCGGTTTTTAATAGTTGCTTTAAGATAAGTAAGCGTATATTACAGTGGGAGTTGGTGATGGCCCAGTCTGTAAAACATGGCTCCTACGTGTACTGTAATTTAGCTTGCCAGTTATTCCACACCACAGTTGCTTTCATTGCTCCCTCCTGTCATGATAATTGCATACAGACTCTGAGGACACTGCTGTTCCTTAATGATTGCAACTGTTCACACTGCAGAGCAAATATGCTGTTATGCAAAAGGTACACTTAGACTTACAGTGCAGCTCATATATCACGCAGACGTGAGAAGTTGCATTGGCTGTATAAACCCAGCCAGGAGCATTCATTAAAGTTGTTTTTAGATGCTGCTAGTATGCATGCAAGCATTATAGCTCAGAATCTCTTCTCACCTCTCCTGTTGTTTAGTAACTTTGCCGGTACTCTCCGCTGCGCTACCCCTTCACCTCGCCCTCTCTTCCACCACTTAGCTCCACTTCCACACCTCATGAAATTTTCATTACAGAGCCAGAGACGAGTCCAATCAAACTCCCCCAACTGTGGCAGGCCTCACACTTAAAACCTCTGCACTTAACAGAGGGGGTTAATTGACCTTGTAAATGGAGCAGGATGTGCATGTCAAGCAGAAACTCTAGAGAGTGTAAAAACTGGTGGTTTCCCAGCCTCGTTGAAACCAGAAACATGCAATGGTTTTATCTTTACCTTTTACCATTTCATCCCAACCTTTTTAAATGTTTTACCTTCAAACACCTGTCAGATGGACGCAAGAACCCCTTCACAGATCAATTTGTTGATTTTATTTATATTTTATACTATAAATCTTGGTCATATCCATTTCATAATGGATAATTACCTATAATGCGAAACCTCACGGTAAATGGCTAACGATCGCAAGTCATTAGTAAATGAGTGTGTTGCTTCACAGTCAGACCCACCCTTCCTTTTCACATTTAGTTTATACTACTTTTTTATTCTCCATGTTTCCCAAGCTAACAACTTCATCCCCCTGTTCATACTTTTCGCAGTTTCTTTAGCATTTTTTTTTTGCTATTAGCACACAATAGTAACTTTCACTTCTAAGTTTTTTTAATTACATTTGATTTTTTTTCCAGAGTAATTACTTTCTACAGTAATCTGCACACATATTACTGTACACATATGCACACATATTAAACCAGTCCAGTTTAAATAGACTGGTGCTTAGTTCAAATAGAAAAGTGAAAATGAACTTATCTGGTGAGATACGATCGTGGGGCAATCGTGGCTCAAGAATTGGGAGTTCGCCTTGTAATCGGAGCCCCGGCTTGGACAGTCTCGGTCGTTGTGTCCTTGGGCAAGACACTTCACCCGTTGCCTACTGGTGGTGGTCAGAGGGCCCGGTGGCGCCAGTGTCCGGCAGCCTCGCCTCTGTCAATGCGCCCCAGGGTGGCTGTGGCTACAATGTAGCTTGCCATCACCAGTGTGTGAATGGGTGGATGACTGGATGTGTAAAGCGCTTTGAGGTCCTTAGGGACTAGTAAAGCGCTATACAGGCCATTTACCAGCACTTTTCACTACGGGCCTTATTCACCCATTCACCTTATATGCCCTCAAATTTTCACGCTCCAATGGATGCATTGGGAGTATCTTGCCCACGGACGCTTTCGACCTGCTAGACGACCTGCTCTATCTCCTGAGCCATAGTCGCCCCATCTGTCCTATAGTGACCTTGACTGGAAATCACTGCCTTACATTTTTATTATCTAGGCAATAATATCTGATCCTGTAGCTGCTGAACAGTCATTCTTTTGCTCAACAGTGACAACTCAATGCAGCCAAACGGACAACAATGAGAGAAACCAGCTTAAAAAAAAATAAATTAAAAAATAATGTAATACAGTGACACAGAGAGGTTTATTAAAGGTTAGCATTATGTTACTGTATTTTTTTAATCCATTAATAAGAACATCATTAATGGAAAATTCCCCAAACATAGTCCAGGTCCATTTCACTATTAAATAAATCTGTTTTTGTGATGAACATTTTAACTGCCTTTCTTACTAATTTATCACGTAGAGTAGCCAAGACAATTAACATAATCATCACTACTATTGTTAGTTGCACCTGTAGGTGTGAATGATATGGACAGACACCATTAGAGATGTGTTTTGTTTCGCTCGTTTGAGTGAGCTGGCTGTCTGCTAGTGGAAGGTGATGGGTAACGTGCAATTTACATGTGTGTTGGTGTTGGTTACTAATTTATTCAGTCTTAAATGTTGTGCATGCCAAATGTCCCTGTTATCTGCGTCTCTTGTGTATGTATTGTATGCATATGTCCTGTGTTATACTTTGTGTTTTTGTCCTTTGCATATGCCCTTTGACCCCTGGCGGGTTTGGGGCCAGTTCATCATCTGACTGTGATGCTATAACACTATTGGCTTACAGTGGTGCTGCTCTTCTTCTTTAACACTGCTTGCCCCTCCTACCGGACCTCTACTACCAACCCTGCTGCTGCTCTGTCTCTTGGGCTCTGCCCCTTATAGCCATCAGGCAATGTATGGGTGACCCATGAGGAGATGGAGACCCTGGCAGCCCCTTCCAAAACGGTCAGTCCTGCTGTGTCCTTTAATGGTTACCCTTTTCTTTCTGTCACTCATATTTGTCTGGTGGTATAAGTGCGATTATCAGAGGGTGGAAAAATATGAATGGTTTCTAATGGAGAAGACATGAGCGGTTAAACCCTTCCCCGGTCTATGAACCTCTTCGCAACACTAATGGCCAGCTTGAAGCTTTAAGCAGCTGCTGATGCCTCAATGAAGGTTTGAGTCACCGTTCACTGTTCTTTGGCTCAGTAAAGCTCCATAATGAAAGGTCACGAATCATCAATTTTCAGCTGTTTATTTCTGTGGTGTTGTTACTCACCACATAGCAGATGTCAGAGTTATTTAAATCACATTTCGCAGTCAGCTTTTTCGCATACAGGGGACTTTTCCTTATGAAACTGCATGCCGTAGAGTTTAATCAAAATACCAATCTTAGAAATAGAGAAACTTGTAAACGTGTGGAGAGACATTTCATCACCTCATTCTCAGGCCAATCCGGAGGCAAGTGTCAGTGTTATTGTAGCAGGCAGAGTGTTTGTTATAAAATGATGGGTAAGTTTTGGGTTTTTTTTGTTTGATTTATTTTATTACCATATTGTATCTTAATTAACTGGATTCAGATTGTCCCATTATTTTAATTGAGAGTCTCCATTGTCATCCACTTACATGCAATTTAAGGTAAATTAAGTTAAAAAATAAATAAAAGCACCTTCCTTCAGCTATCAAAATTGCTGGAACACGAGCAGGACTTGAGGGTGCACCTAAAATGCCAATTTTGACTGGGTCTACTTTTGATTGGTTATGAAAAACAAAAAACATCATAAGCCATAAGGTGTATAACAGCTGCTGCTGAAATTTGTGTTTCCCTTCAGGGTCTCCTCATGCACTATCAGTTTGATTTGGATGCAATTTAAGGATTTGTTATTGTTCTAAAAGTGACAATTGGTCTTCATTTTCTCTCATTTTCTTTCCCCTGTGTTTGAGCTAGAAGTCGGAGTCTGAAGAGGGCAGCTGGGCACAGGTGGGTGGAAAGCCTGTTGTCTCTTACAGGCAGAGTGAAAATGTGCAATTGGTTTGGCGAGTTTTGTTAAATATCGTGTTAAATGTGTTTTCTATTAGACTCTTGCCTATGGTGACATGAACCATGAGTGGATAGGGAACGAGTGGCTGCCCAGTCTAGGACTACCTCAGTACCGCAGCTACTTCATGGAGTGCCTCGTGGATGCCCGTATGCTGGACCACCTCACCAAGAAGGACTTGAGGGTGCACCTAAAAATGGTGGACAGCTTCCACAGGTAGTAGACTTGCATCATACTTATAATATATGTACAAAATGTTTGATCTGGCTCTAGTAACTCATACTTCAAAAGGTTTTTTGGGAGGTGCTAAGCTGAGAGGGCATCCATTTCTTTTTAACTTTGTTTTCCTGAAATCAGAACAAGTCTACAGTACGGGATCATGTGTCTGAAGAAGCTCAACTATGACAGGAAGGAGCTGGAGAGAAGAAGGGAGCAAAGCCAGCATGAAATGAGAGGCAAGTACATCCAAGACACGAGCAGTTTGAGAGTGCGCATCTTCGCCAAGGCTGAAAATTTCCTCCATGATTTGTCTTTATTGAGTTCCTGCATGAAAACAGATAACTGTATTTCTGTGACAGTTCCTTTAAAACATAAAATGAATTTCCGCTTTGTATGAACTGTGTGAAATCTTACTCTATCAGAAATTTCCAGACTAACAGCTAGTCTAAAAGTATTTTAAAACTGGTAAAATGTGCAAGTTCAGTTGACACTTTTTCAGGTACAAAAATGTTGTAATAAACCAAACATATGTGAAAACATTTGAAGTCCATACTTGTCTCTGCAGACGTTCTGGTGTGGAGTAATGAGCGGGTCATCCGCTGGGTGCAGAGCATAGGCCTGAGGGACTACGCCAACATCCTGCTGGAAAGCGGTGTGCATGGAGCTCTGGTTGCCCTGGATGACAACTTTGACTACAGCAGCCTGGCACTGCTCCTCCAGATCCCTACACAAAACACTCAGGTACTACTGCAGCTGCACTGTGCAGTCTAGTCAATTTTCTTTGGCAGATTTGACTGTGCACTAACAACAACATTAAGTTAGTCTAATGTTTTTCCAGCTGAAAACAGAAAATCTTTATTGCGATTGAGATATTTTTTGGAGCTCTTTTTTTTTTTGGCATAGACATTAAAAAAAAATTTAAAGGTGTAAATTATGGGCAGAAATATCATCAGTCGCCAGCTTCAGTCCAAAAATAGAGGAATGTTGGTATCAGCCTTCAAAAGCCGGTGGAATCTAAATCAGAGCATGCAGATTTGCCAACTGTCACCCTGGCAAGTTTCCCTGTGAATTTTCACTGCTTATCTCATCTCTATACTCGGGTAAAATCCACGAATAATGTAATGTGTCAGCTGCCTCTGCTACCATGCAGCTAAGAATAGCTGGCCTTCTGAGTGTGTTGTCTTTTTTTTGTTTGTTCTCCTTCCTCTTCCCCTCAGGCACGTCAGATTCTGGAGCGAGAGTACAATAATCTGCTGGCGCTGGGCACTGACAGAAGACTGGATGAGGTGAGAAGTAACTATCACCCACAAGACATCACACCACTGTGAGGTGAAATGTGAAAACTAAGCCTTTTAAAGGATTTCTAACAGTCACATTCTATCAACGTTATTAGATAGTTAAATATAACGAACACTCTTACAAATTCTGAAGTTAGTTTGTAAAAAAAAAATCCAAAATCCTACATATCACGTTACCCTTTAAAAGTAATGAACTCTGCCAGGATGTTTTGTTTTCACTTATGTTGAAACATTAAGCTTATCAGTGTTATTAGGCCTCAGTTGCACAGGCCTATAGACAAGTTGGAGATCCCCTGGTAGCCTCTTGTTGCTATGGAATGATATGTTAACAAACCACTCGGCAGCCCCGACCGGTTGCTGGCTGTTGCTAGGTGAAATCAGTAGTAAAGGGGGTGCCGGACCATAAACCTTTCTGTGATTGCTTAGCAGATTGCTGCTGTCACCCATAGTCTGTATGGAAGATGCCAACTTGCCTTTAAACAAGTCATCAACTACTTACTGAATAGAAGTACCACTGCAATCAACATGTTTAACAAAGGTGTAACTTCACTGTGAAAGGACAATAGTCCCAGAGGTTGCCAGGAGGGAAAGGAGGGCCACAAACCGGTCTTAAGGCCTGAACCAGGTGGTGAGAGCGAGAGCCGTTTGGACTCGGGATAGTAGTCAAAGACTACTCTCTTGAAACTTCTTCTCTCACCTCATATAATTATTTAACTTTTCTGTCTAAAAACAATCTCTCTATCATCCTGTCACTCAGTGCGATGACAAAGACTTCCGAGGCCCATCGTGGCGGAGGCAGTTCCCTCCCCGGGACATCCATGGTATCAGTATGATGCCTGGATCAGCAGAAACACTCCCTGCTGGCTTCCGTCTCACCGCAACATCCGGTCACTCCAGAAGACTGCCCCCCGAGGGTAAGTGCACTTCATTTCTCACACATGACACTTTTGCATTTCTCAAGCCTGGCTTTCAAACAACACATAGGTTATGTCTGCCTGTTGAACAGGGAGATGAAAGCATCTCACCTGGGAGCAGGAGTTCCTGCCCCTGCTGTGTGTGAGGAGCATTCTGACTGTGTCTCTTGTTCTCTCTGACTCTGTGACGGCTGCTCTGCAGTCCTCTATGAGGCGCTGGATGACAGTCCTGACGACATGTATTTGGATTGGTTTCAAGGTCAGCCCATCTGAAGGTCCTGGGCTTGTTGGCCCTGCGTGTGTTAATATTATTATTTGTAGTATTAGTCTACATATATTCCCTCCTCTTTACATGGTCTCTGCCAACCACTGTCCTGCTGTATCTCTCCTTTTCTTTGTGGTCTCTCACCCTCGCCTCTCTTTTCTCTTTCTATAATTAGCTCTCTTTAATATCCAACTCCAAGGGTATTGTTTTGCAGAGCTGCAAAATAGATGGCCTTTCACCCTGGTAGTTAAAAACAAACTAGGGGTCAAGTTATGGATTAGGACCCATGCTTGTTGGTTTAACCCTTGAAGTAATGAAGCAGCAAAACAAAAAGTGGCTGAGCGGTGCTATGTAAGTTGGCCTGAATCAGGAGGTTTACATAGGTGAACAGTACATCTTGAATGTTTTACCAACTAAAACTGACAGTTTGTGCGATTCCTCAACCCTTTACTGTTAAAGAGGACTCTGGCTAAAACAGTCTTAATATTAAAGGGCAATGCTGGTTTGTGAAATTTGGGTAGTTTGGTTCATTTGTTTGTTTTTTTAAATGTTAATGTTGTTCTTGCTAAAGAAATTGCTGAGATTTGGGAGCATTAGACTACTCTTCTTGCACTACACAGAAAGTTGAACCTCAATAAAAAATAATGGAAGTCTGCCAATTTGATGACAAACCCTGTATTTAAGAGAGTGAGATCTGAAAGCATAAACTGGGACACAAGTTAAACCTTAAACCACAGAGATTGACGTAGATGCTAAAAAAGGACAGAGCTGAACAGAAAGACCTTTCACAGTTTAGCACAGTTCAGACACTGAGCACAGGTTGGTTAAAGTAAACTCTCTACTGTAAAACTACTTATTAAACTACCTAATGAATGAGTAATTGTTTGTTTTATCTTGAAAGGTTTTGGGCTGTTAGGGGATCAGTTTAAAACCTGTGTGATCACCACACTGCTCTGAACTACCTTTTGTAGCCACATTCCCATATCTCAGCAATTAAAACAACAGTCAGTTGTCACTTTCAGCTATCCGTGACAGCCTTTATTAGGAAAATTATTTCAACTTTTGAGTATTTTGAGCTCTTGTAAATATTAAAACTATTTGGCTATACTTATACAAATTTCTGCCCATCCATAATGGTTAAGTCAAAGAAAGTTTTGGTATTTCAGGTCCTACTAAAAATGAGTAAACTCAATCTGCTCATTAAGACTGTATATACTATGTACTATATATCCTATATGCACACTATATAACTCAAGATCACAATAAACCAGAATTATCCTTTAAAGGAAATCATTATCAATTATGCCATGCAGTAAAACATGATGGGAACTCATCAAAATATACTGATTTTTGGCCAGCGTTCTCTTCTAACAAGGTGTTCCCAATAACACAGAAACAGCCTTCGTGTGTTCCTCTGTCTCTACTCACTCTGTCCCCTGATCTGTGATGTCCACAGCTCACTGATATCTAGTTGCTGGTGATGTCCACTCAAAACAGGAATTTCCTTTGAGTGATCCATGACTACTTCTATGACGGTGTCACTAAAGTAACTGCCATTGTGTGGAAAAAGGAAGACAATGCTCCTGCAATAGAGGAGACTATATAATTTCAGGCCCACAGTGACCACTACCATGATCAAAGTTTGTTGGACTCTTCCACCTACTGAATTGGATGACCTCAAAAGAGCAACCAATCACTTTGCATTTTCATACAGTACTTTCTGTCTTGCAGTTCTTGCATTGCACAATTACCTCATTGTCAGGTAGAAGTAAAGATAGAATCAGATGCTATGGCTGGATCTCACCCACATATGTGAAGGGATGCAGAGACAAAACAACATGGTAAAATAGACTGGAATACAACATGCACGGTACTCTGTGCACGTTTTTTTGAAGTTTCTCACGTGACTCCAAAAGTCGTCCACCACTTTGGATGCAATACAACCTTAGCTAGGTTCCTGGGAGTTACTGGGTGAAATCAGTTGCAAAGAAGTTGCTGCAGCAGAAACTTCCTAGTGATTGTTTTTGGTGGCGAGGGCTGCCTGTAGTTTTCATTGGTTTTCTGCAAACAGTCGCTAACACAGTACCACAGTAGTGGCAAAACTAAAAGAAAAAGTGTGTCACAAACCATTTTTCCTTCCCAGCTGGTGCAACTTACGCCCGTGTGACTGGGCCCTTACTCACTCCATTCTACATTGTCATCAAAATTGTGGCATGTCTAAAATGCTGGACAGGTTAACCTCACGTGGTTATTGGTCACATATCTGCAAAACCCTAATACAAATGGGCAACAGGACTGGTTGACACCCCCTGGTGGCCATTAGATAAAGTGCAGGTTTAAGTCACTTCTATGTTGGTTAAATTGTGTCCTGAAATGTGAACTTTAGATTATGATTACACAACTTGAGTAAAACGGCAAAATGTTTGCTTTAATATTAGATTTAATAAAGCTGATAGATTAAGGAGCTTGGAAAGAAAGGGACTGAACTTCTTTAAAGACACTTCACATCTCATCCAAGAGGCTTCTTCAGCTCTCAAATTAAATGTGGAGACTCTAAATACCTAGATAGACACTGATTGTATCAACATTCCTTTGTCATATTTGGATGAAATACAAACAAAAAGTGTTACTGTCAGTGCTCACAGTGCGTTCTAGAAATCTTGTCCTTGGTAATCGTTTGGTAGGTAGTTCTTAGGTAAAAGAAATAGTTCCCCCTCAGATGCAGTCCTGAAACTGCAGCCTCCTCTACTGCAGGAACATGCTACTCAGAAAAATGTTTCTTGTCCCTGTTGAGAATCTCTAACCTTGTGGTTTGGTGTGGTAAGGAAGTAGAATAATGTTTCCTTTCCCTCTGGATCCATCTTGCACAGTAGGAACCTAAATATTCCGACTTCATGATAATTCCCCCCTAACTGTCTCCCCTACAGTTGGACCATCTGCGGTGCAGCGACTGGATAGCTCCACGGTGAGAACCTACTCCTGCTGAGAGGAGGAAGAGAGGGACCTTAAACTGTACGCTGTATGTAACACAACACAGAATCTCGCCCTGTTTAATGCACAGCTTTCCTCAGAAGCACTTAAAACAGATACTGGATGAAAGAGACAAGGGCCATATTTTCCCCCCAAGATAAGCATATTTGTCTGGTCGGCTTGGCGAGGCTCTGCAGTGTTTTGGCCAGGTAGCTGTGACAAGGTGATAGGAGACAGCAGGGCATGCAGGGAACTGTGGTCCCATCCTGATGTCTGCCCTTTAATGTCTGTCCAAAAAAGATGAGTCAGGTATGGTCAAAGCTTTAAAAATCCGCTTTTCAGATAAACAAGGAGCGTCTAACACAGAGATTAGTTAACAAAGTTCATTTACATGATTATGACTGTTCACGGCTGCCGAAGAAGGCCTTATGAAACTTATCCAGACTTCACAGATTACAAAGTGAGCTTGCCCTAGTCTCCGATTCCAGTTTCCCAAACAATGAGACATTAAACATAATTATGTTTTGCTAAAAAAAAAGAAAAAAAGAGAGTCCTTAAAAACAATTTAAAATCGTTGAAATGAATCGGTAATCATAAAACTTTACAAGACCTCGGCTAAATGTTTACTAACGAAACAACGTCCTAATATTTGAACTTGTGTCTTCTTGAACCACCTCTGTGACATAGGCTGTCATCAGTGCATTTACACTGATCAGCCACAACATTAACAGCAAAGAAGTAACACTGATCACCTTTTTGCAATGCGGTTGCAAACCTTTGGTCCTGGCATTCATGCGGATATTGTCTCTACACTGCTGTAAGACCAAGCATACTGAGCAGGATGTTCCAAAACAAGCCTGATTCAATAACCCCAAGGACTCATTTTACTACCAGGCACAACAGGAAATCTGTCCATGACCTGACAGGTCAGAGCAGATTTGTTATAAGATTAGGAAGGTGGTTTTATTGTTGTGGCTGTACCAGTTCAAGCATTTCAGTCATGCAATAAGGACTAAGGTTAAAGTGAAATAAGTATGTGGGAAAAGGTAGAGCACAGCAGAGGGGGTTGAATCAATAAGGGAAAAGGTGCTGTGTTATAACTATAATAAGATCATTGTGCAGGCAGTTTCTAATGCTTTCACCAGCTTGTTATACTCCTACACAGCAAAAAAGTAAATGGTGCAAAGTTCAGAGCATTTCAGAAACTGGGGACACTGTACCAGAACGATACAGTAAGACATTTGCATACCTTTGCAGGCTTCTGCATTTCAGGATCAGTATTTACTGAAGGTGCAAAA